GCTGCACAGGTCACAAGAGCCCCGGAGCCGGAAAACAGCTGACAAGAAAAGAAGAAGTATCAGATTCCAGAGAATGATTGATTTGTAAAGAAGAGGAAGAGCCCAGACCCACTGGCACAAACAACCGTGAAGAACATTGGTTCAGTGACACAGGGCCTCTTGAACAAGGAATTAAAACCTCCTGACTTGTGCTGCCAGGGTCATGCCAATGCCAGGGGTTCAAGATGACCCACAAGGGCATCAGAGGTCAACATGAAGCTTTATAGAAGTGAGAGAGGAAGTTGTTGATGTTGTGGCACATTTTCTGCACGTTTATTTAAGGAAGACATTTTTCTGCCCACTGGCATTTTCTCCCTCTGACTCTGCAATTTATGTTTTGGCTCTTATGCTAACAGGAAAATTGCTTATATAAATTGTATTGCCAAATAAAAGTAGCCTTGACAGCATCACAATAAATGCTGATAATTGATGGCAGCAGTGTTTTGGGTTATTTTTGCAATAATAATATCCAAGTAAAATTGATTGCAAGAGCTAGTTCTGGTCCTCAAATTTATTTTTGGTCTAATGGCATTTAACACGAGAACTTTTTACTGTAGCCTATCACTTCACTTGTCTGTCTTTACACCTTCCAGATAGCCAGTCTGCAATTTACTGATGACGATTCATTTAACTGATTCGTTCAAACAAACTGATTTATGCAGGAACGCAACTAATGTGTGTTGTTCAGAGATGGCTGGCTGCTGTGGCTTTGTTTGGCGGAACAAAAGTACATTAAATAACTGGAATGTGTCTCAACTCAATAACTAATTTTTTGAACTGTCGTATAACTGATTTGTTCAAACAAACTGATTCATTCACGCCACTAATATCATATGTGTCACACCTGTATTTGTGTCTTCAGTGTAAAAATTGCTTTTTGAAACACTGTAGTTTCCTTTCCTGCCAGTCATATCGATTTTGGTATAGAAAGGTAAATTGAATTCTGGGCTGTTCTCCTTATTAGAGCTAATTTCCCCTTTTCCATCCATTTTCCATCTTGCTTCATGATAGTTCATGATAGTGATTATTGAAGTATTCTTCATAGATAGGGAAGAGGTCTCCATCACTGAATGATGATTATTAAAACGGCAGACCTGTCTCGGTTAGATACATCTCTGTTATTCAAGTTGGCCCTATCTTTTCCTTATTCTTCCATCTCGTTTCATCCGCAGGACTCATTTCTTGCAGTAATAATGAGATCTGAAGAGGAGAGAACAGCGTCCCGGAGGTGCAGAATCTCTTTCTCCAGATTACTAAAGCATAGTGTGCTGATGACGACACATGCACAAGCTAAGGTGTTGCTAACATGTAGTTTTTCTATGCTTGCATTTCTGTTTAGTGTCCAGCTGAATGTTTAAATAAGCTAAATGTTATGGCCATCATTTTTCTTGGGTTTGCGTGCCGCAACCGCCTTCTTCAAATCCCACCAGAGATTTTCCATGGGGTTCAAGTCAAACGACTGTGATGCCTCTGTAGAATCTTCCAGGACTTCTTCTGCAACCAAGCCTTGGTGGAATTTGAGGAATTTGGGATCATTGTCCTGTTGGATGGTCCAGTGAAGCCCAAGCTTCAGCTTCCCGACTGACGCCATGACTTTACTGACTTCAAAAAATCCATCTTGCTTTCCACACGCTGCAAGTTTCCAATGCCATAGGAGAGGATGCAAAGTAGCCGCAGAGCATCACCGAGCCACCACCATGATATTTAATTTTGTGTATTTAAATAGGACTCTCTATCTGTGTCCATAGGCACACATCTGATCCAGCAGCTGCTCTGGGTGCTTCTTGTTCCAGATCGCACCACCAGATCTTCAAAATCCCCTTTTGCCTAAGCTTTCTCCACAGAGTCTATTAGCTTAGCTTAAAAAAAAAAGATGGCTGACACTATTTGTACACTTTTGGTGTACTGGACTCTATTGGACACTAATTGGACACTATTGGTGAGTGAGATCCCACCCCCTATGGCCAGGTTGAAAAACACGTGGAACTAGCTCCCGCTACTGGCTGTAGTCTTTAGCCTCTGGCCAAAAAAGCCTCAGGTGACGCTAAATGACGATTTTTGCGTCATCCAAGTTTTTTTTTCCAAACAAACAATACAGAAATCTCTCGTCTCAGGGGGACACGAGGGAGGGAAGCACGGTCATTCGAAAATACTATCGGGTTTCTACTGATACAAAGCTTAATGCTAATCGATGAAGTATCCCATTAACTGTAGACAGAGTGTTCTTTTCAGCAAAGGCTTCATTTTTCTTCCTCCACACTTACCGCTGATCCATAGGGCCGAAAAGTTCCAGTTTTGTTTCATCACTCCAAAGAACAGAATCCCAAAACTTCTTTGGCTTATTTATATGATTTTGAGCAAATTGGAGCCAACTTTTCTGGTGCTTTTGGGTCAGTAGTAGAGTAGGGGAGAGCGGGGCACAACCTAACGCTTTTTGGTTTTGGCTCAATTAATTCAAAAATAATTAGGTTAGATTAATACTTTTTTTTCACAAGCAACATACACATCTCTGCTACAAATGAACACTTAAAGTTTTTTTCTAGGACCTACCATTTTCGTACAGTTGCACTGAAAGTGACAGAAGTGCAAATGTTACAACTTACCCCATATGCGGGGTTAATTGTAACAGATAGAGGGGTTAGTTGTAACACTTGTGTGTAACACACATAATTCAGTACTATTTTATTTGTATAGTTTGATATTGTTTGTGCATCTGTATAGATAGATATCCATACATATCCCTCATCCAATCATCCTTCTATTATGGATCAATATCATGGATAGAGACATAGAAAAGGGCTGCATAGTTTTGCGATAAATAATAATAAATAAAATTATAAATATTGTAATTTCATTAAATTAGATTTATGTGTGGCAGCTGCATGATGTACAATTATTATTATTATTAATAATAACAGTAATGATAATACAAATGAGCTTAAAATAAAAATTTAAAGGGTTTATTGCATTAATAACAGGCCATATTTTTAATAAATAAACAAGTTATCATTCATAGTACACTACATTTTAAACATTTAAATCCCAACATTGTTTGTGAAAGTCTAAAAAAGTTAAATGTACACTCAAACCTGAAAAGTTGTGTGGCTCCGTTTTCATTTGATTATCATTGTACACTTGGAGGCTTAGTTGTACCACTCTGTTCGAACTAACCCCGCTGTGTATTACATATTTTAACCCTAGCTAACAGTCGCTAGGAATTGCTGACATGTTTCAAAACGGTGTTATGTTTGAGCCAACAAGACAGTGATTAAGGCAATATAAAGTTAGATTTGAAAACGTATACACCCAACTCAGAAACCGAAAAAAACCTGATGAAAAAAATTACTTTTATGGTGTCAAAACACTCTTTGTCCAGTATCTTCACGAAATATAATCAAAACTTTCCGCAAATTCGCGGGAGATCGTCTTCTGGCAGCAAGAGAAAAATAGTGGAAAGACGGCCGGCTTGATCCTGACGAACTATGTAAACGGTCCGTGTTACATTTAACCCCGCGTTAGGTTGTGCCCCGCGCTCCCCTACGTCTTGGAGTTCTGGCATGCGTTTAGTACGCACCAGAGCAGCTTAAACCTACCTCAGTGTCTGGTTGAAGCCGTTGATAGCTTCCTTTTTCTGCCCCTCCAGGTAGTGAAACCACTGTCCTTTTAACTTTGAACATATGAACTATGCTTCCAACTTTGTCTTTATGAAATTGTAGTGAATTCGCTATATTTTTGTATCCTGTTCCTTGTTTGTGAAGGGCAATGAAATCTCTTTTTGGACCATTCTATTGAATTAGCCATGACATGCAGTCAAACTTGATAGCCTACTCAACAAACCTAACCAGTTCAAAGTGTTCTAGCTCAGGCACACCTGGAGTAACTAATGAATCCCTTGATTAGTTGCAGCAGGTGTGCTTGAGACAACACCCTTTTGCTTCGTCCCAATGGGCTTTATGCCCAGCTGCACTACTTCCTGAACTTCAGCCAGCTTCTTGTTTCCTGTCTGCCATTATTGGCCAAATTGATTAATTCAGGTGTGTCTGATTATTGTTGCCATGACAACTGAGGTCAGGCACACCTGGATTAATCAATTTGGCCAATAATTGCAGACAGGAAACAAGGAGCTGGCTGAAGTTCAGGAAGTAGTGCAGCTGGGCATAAGGTCAATTCGCATACTATCCGTCCTAAATAGTATTCGAAAATAGAATTAGTACGTCCCAAATCGTAGTATGTTGAAATGAGTGTTTCAAAGATTCCCGGATGGTCTACTTTTTCCGGTCAGAATTCGAAGTGTAGATCGATGCACACTCTAACGGCTGATTTTGCCCACAAACCATTGCGCGTTGGACGAGGAATTGGTTAGAACAACAAACACGAGTAAAAAGTGTTAAAAAACTACAGACACGTAGTCTATACGGAGGACGCGCGAGTCCCCGCGGTTGTGTAGAGAGGTTTAGATAAAGAGCTTTAAATGATTAATTATCAGTATCTAACCTGACGAAAATGAATTTATTCAATGTTGTCCACATTATATTGCATTTGCAACAGCATTGTGAACTTTTGTAAAGACACATTTAGCCATTACGTTTTAAATGCATCATTATATTCAAATTGCAAACATGAGGAGAGCATGAAAGATCCACAACTGGCAGATGAACGTGCTCTCCGAAACGGTAGGAAATAAAATTAGATAGAATGGAGGATTTTAACTGTGACAAGATGATTGACAGGGCAGTTTACGGTGACAGGATGCACGCAGCACGCAACAGAGCTGTCCGTTAAAGATGACGCGATAGTATGTCCCAAAGCTTGCCTACTCTTTTGCTACACACTCAAAAGTATGTACTTTTTCCTCACAAAAAGAGCACATACTTTTAGGGCGTAGCATAAGTAAGCGAATTGGGATGCAGCATTTTTTTTTTTTTTTTTTTTTTTTTTTTTTGGCAGATTTGTGCTGTTGTGAGGGATTTTTATTCAGGGGAGTGAATAATTTTGAAACTGCAGAATTCATTAAAGGTTGCATTTTCAGTTAAATTTGGGAAAACCACTTGAAATATTTGTTGTGTTGAGCTATTTCAATGAAATGAGTTTGTTTTATTTATTGCTAACAGCTGAAAGTCTGGAAATGGCCTCACCTTTACTGCAATTGAAGTTTCTTGCTTTTTCTTCCTTGTTGCCAGCCTGGAAATATGAAAAGGAAATCTCTCACAGAGGACATTCAAATTAGGAAGATGGCCAGAGGTGAGTTGTGATTATTAGTAATTTGGGACACAACAAATACGTTAGGCTCCCGTGGCTGGCAAGTTAGCTGTAATCACTAGACATGTACTAGCAGAACTCTGAGAGCTGGAGCTTGAGAGATGCAAGGGGTAACAGGGGTAATCATCTCAGCAGGTTACATGGCTGTTCTCTGACATTCTGAATGCAGGTGCACAAGGAAAATGGGAGGAAAGCATTTGTCTGAGCTTCTGCTTAAAGCCCTGGTTTCCTGTGGCGATGACTCTACCTTGTTACATTTACAGAGCCATTACAGTGCATTATGAGCCCTTGTTAAAAGGCACAATTTACTACCATTCACTTCTATTCACTGAGGTCTATGACTGACAAACTATGACTGTAAATAGGCCAACAACATTGGACCACTCCTACATTTAAATTATTTGTTTGTCTTCCATTTATGCTGCAAATGTGCTTTTATTAGTTTTTATTGTCTTTGGCTGTAGGTTAAACATTTTGGACAAGTAAAAAAAAAAAAAAAAAAAAAAAACGCATTATCTTGTATAAAATTATATCGTACATTGTACTGTGTTGTGTTTTGTGAAATGTATAGCCTCCAATGGACAAGCGTTGTAAATTAGCAGTTTTGCTTTGACACTAAAAAAATGGTTTTGTCCAATGGTTTTTCCAATGCTGCTGTTATGTCCACATCAAATACATAAATCTTCAGTTACATAAATAAAATGACAGGCCTGAGTTTTATTTTCAAATATTATAAATATTCAATTTCTTTGTTTTCTTGTGAGATTTATAACCTGCTTATTATTGTTATATTATTATTATTATTATTATTATTATTTCCAGTGAATGTAGATAGAGGGTGCACATAGTCTGCAACTTAATCTTAATAATAAAATTAAAGTTTTTTTCAGCCATTATTGTCAGCACAAACTTGCATAATTTGCTTTTTAATAACTAATAATTTTAATAATTGATCAGCTGTGACATTTATGCTTTTTGAAATTTCTCCATAAAATATTCTTTGCAATAAAAAAAACTTTCTGCATACTAATAGTTACACATTATTTTAAGGTGGTTAGAGTGTACTTATATGTTTAAGCATAGGGTTAGAGTTGCATGTAATTATGCATAATTTACTGTTATTGCTATAGCATAGTGTAACATGCATGGATACTGTAAAATAAAGTGTTATCCACGTAATTTTAAGAGTACACATTTCCTTGTCAAATTGCCAAAACATGAAAAATTATTTTCTGTAGGCTATAATGTGGTGTTGTGCTTGGATTATAAATCTAGATGTGAAGTCGAGTAAATCTGCGGTTCATGTTCATGTAGCCATCATTTATGACCCTGTTTTAATATACTTAAAAAAAATATTAAACTCAACATTTTTTATGTTTCTGATTTGCTGCTGTTTTGAGGATTTTTTGATGAAGTTAAATAAACAGCATTTGTTTAATTGATTCATTACATTTGTTAAAGCATTTATTAGATTTAATCTTTTGCTACATTATAAATGTCTTCAATCCATTTTCCTTTAATATTAATTAATAATTTGTCCCTTTTTAATCTTACCACAAATTTCCACAAAAATGTTGTTTACTAAAAACTGTCATCAACATTGATGATAATAATAACAAATGTTTCTTGAGTAGCAAATCAGCATTTTAGAATGATCTCTGAATGATCATGTGACGCTGCAGACTGAAGAAATGATGTTGACAACACAGACATAAATTACATTTTTACGTTAAAGTAGAAAACAAGTACTTTCATTTGAAATAATATTCCACAATATTACTGTTGTTACTGTATTGATTAAATAAATGCAGCCTTTGTGAGCATAAGAGACTTAAAATGCTAATGTTTCTAAACTTTTGACTGGATTTGATAAAATATGTTTTGTGGTATTTGTTTCTTTCACTCAAAAACATTGTCCGGTTATATATATATATATATATATATATATATATATATATATATATGGTATTTTGCACAACAGGAAAGCTCCAGCTGTTAAGTGTAGAAAACAAATAAACAATGATCATGTTCATCAGGTTCATACGGAGTTGTTTCTGAGCGCTTGAAAAGCAGATGTTGAAAAGCAGGAGGTGATTCAGGCGGGTGTGGTCAATGACGTACAGACTCATAAGTACGAGCGTTCAGAGACAAGCTGACCAGAGCACACTTTAACATGTATCCTCCTGACAGCTCATCAAAAGACGGGCCGTTTTCCCTTCCAAATGCTTTTACCAGCGATCAAATCAAGCAATATTGTTCTCGTCTGGGATAATTATCGACTTCAAGCCTTACAGTGGACCATCTGTTGACATCGATTGCAACAGGTAGGCTCACTGTCTTCCAGCGTCCATTTGTAGCATTGTGCGTAAAATTCCACTTAACGTTACCATTTCATTTCATTCAGCGCATGTGGTCGCTTAAAGTAGGCTACATTTGTTTACGTGTGCACTTTTCAGACAGAAACGACGTAAACAGGTTAATGATTGGAATAATGCAGAACGTCAAATTCATTTACTTTTACTCGGCATGAGGATGAAAGGTCTAAGTTAACGCTTAGTAGTGGTTAACAATGCATTAAAGTAAGCTGTACGATATTACATGCACATACTGTCTGTATGACATAAAGAAAATTGACTGGTTTTAAATTTGTCTAGTAGATAAACGAGGACTGTTTTAAACTGAACTGTGATAATTAATCATGATAAAAAAAATTGACACAATAAAGGTGATCAAGTCCTTAATCTGAATTATCTGACAGTATACATCTTAAAACATGAATAGCCTATACCCGTAGTTAATTTATCAAAAAAATAAATAAATAAATAAATAAAATAAAAATTTAAAATGTAGAATTTAGTATATTTAATACCATTGATTAAAATTATGTGGGTTTTTTTAAATGAATGAGGCAAAAATTCAAAACAGTCAAGAAAACTGCTGGAAATAGTTTACCTACAGTATGATTTAAGTACTGAATGGGCCCCATTAATGATGACCTGCTGCGTTTTTGCTACACTTAACCCACTCGTCAAATGGACTAATAAATCACTTTTAAAACTAAATGAATGAGGCAAAAATTCAAAACAGTCAAGGAAACCGCTGGAAATAGTTTACCTACAGTATGATTTACTGTATGGGCCCCATTAATGAGCTGCTGCATTTTTGCTACACTTAAACCACTAGTCAAATGGACTAATAAATCACTTTTAAAACTAAAAGTCAGCAATGATGTCAGTGAGCTATGATGACATTGTTGTGACCTCAGCAAGCGGTGACATTTAATATGCAAAATTCTAATAAAACTTTTGTTGTACACTACAGTAATACAACTTTAGTCAACTTTAGTTTTTAGTCTGTGGCAAAGACACGGGTCTATCCATCAGTGACAGTAATACATCTACTTTTATGTGACTTTAACCGGCTGAAGACTGTCAGTAGGATAGTTTAATAACAGGCAGATTGTGCCAAATAGGCTCTTTACAGTTTCCTTTTATCCACTCTCAATTATATAGGCCATTTTAGCTTTCCCTTTAAACTGGACAACATTTATCATGTAAACTCCAGCAGTAAGGAATAGAGGTAAAATGACTGAAAGTAAAATAATGAAATCTCTTTTTTTTCTTTTGCCTTGAAAAAAGTTTTTTTTTTTTTTTTGTATTTACATGATAAATAAAATAAATACATGAATAAATTCAATAAATATACATCATTCTGTGTTGCCAGTAAATCAACAATTATCTTACAGATGGACAAAATCATGAAAAATAGATGGGGCTGCTGCCTCTCTGCTGAGATTTCCAGTAATTACGATTATAGTTTGTAGCACTGAAGAAAAAAAATCCCTACCAGATGCATCATTTTGCGCTGTGACTATGGTCTAGTCAAAGCAGCTCTACCTAATTCACATCTATGAAATGAAATTCACAAAACGTCTGCATAAAATATTCTTAAATATAAATATGGCATTGTATGTTTATGATTTATGTATTTGGCAAATTATTTTATCCAAAGCACCTTTGCATTCAGATGATTAGTTTTATCAGTTCTTGCTTTCCCTGGGAATCAAACCCTGCTGTGGCTAACACCATGTTTTACTGCTGAAACTACAGGGAAACTTATTAAAACAATAAGCCTTGTGAAGACGTGGTTTTAGAAAAGCTAAGGGTCTCACGGGGCTTATTGCTTTTATAAAAAGGTTTGACCATAAAAAATATTTATTGTAATGAGGTCACTGTATCATTGTAGAGTACTTCACCAAACAGCTTCAAATATGGCTCAACCAATCAGAATCAAGAATCGGAGCTATCCGTTTTATAAAATATTCTATAGCGCTCCAGTTTTACGTGCACTGTATTATTAGAAAAGGTTGATAGTCTTAAATGTTTGCATTAGGCTCAATGGTGGTTCCCACCACTCCTGCACAGGGCATGGTTTCCGTCGCTCCTTCTTTCCCTTATCCGTTTTCCGCCAGAGAAGGGAGTGAGGGAAGCTGAAGAAGGGAGATCACACCATGGCCTTGGGCTTTTGTTTTTGGTATGCACTGCTGGCCGGTGGCCGGGCGCTCTTTTGCCTCAAGAGCGTGGAGGATCATGCCAGACTGGTTGTCAGTAGAGTTGATGCAGGCAGACTCAGTCTGTGCTTTCCAAGTCCCCTACTTCTCTCTGTCTTCCATTCTATCAAAGTCTTTCTTAGCCTTCTATTGGAAGAATTATAGGAATTGGAGGTTACTGAGTTTTAATCTGAAGAATAGTTGCCCCATTATCATAATGAGTGTTTTACTGTAAGTGTTCTTTACAGATTGGTAATGAGATATTTGACAATGTCTGAAAAAATCATGTGCACAGTGACAATTTAAGTTACTAAATGGATGTAGTAGATTAAAAATACCTAAAGAGATACCACTACCTGCAGTGTAAAAAATGCACCGTTAATTTTACACAAAAACGAGAAAAAAACACACAAAAAAAAAAACACTGGCAGTGGTGGTTGCCAAAATATCACCTTAAAAATATGTTTCCATTGTTGCAGGATTGCTTGTTACTGTCTGTATCACTGAAAAAAATGAATGTAAATTATGGGTAACAAAATATAAAACAAACACAACCATTTAAATAAAATACAATCATATGTGATGTCACACCATTTATTGTTTTACATTTTAGAATATTCATGTAATATATATTTGACAATATTTTGCAGTAAAAATACATACAATGCAATGTTAAACCATTTAACATTTAACGTTTCTCTGTGTACAATAAGGTAAGTTTTTACTGGAGCATTTAATAGGCTAAATATACTATAATAACAATTATTATTTATTTATTCGTAATTGTAATTATTGTAATAATAATATAAAAATAAAGAGATGGATAAAAGATTGTTTTAATTATTTATAAAAATAGTAAAAAAAGAAAAATTTTGATGTTCACAAAATTGCTTTGTATATCATCACACAATTTCCATTTTGTCATTTTGCAGGTACTTGTGCTCTGGATATGTTTTGGCAAGCTGCCTGTCTGCACTGAAACGAGGGTTCAAAAGTCCTCGGCAGACTCACGTTGGCAGTCTGGAGAGACGGTGTGGCTAACTGCCTCTCTCAAATAGTCTACAATACTGTGTAGGTAAGAGTCACTTTAACAGACTTCTGTGTTCAAATTAAGAACTAAAATGTGTCATTAAAAAGACAGCAGTGCAAAGAGCTGAGAGAAATAGAAATGTATCTTTATTATGCCTTGGTTCTTTTTAATGGATAGAGTGTGTAAGAGAAATGTACATTCCTGAGGTAGATCTTTGAATGCAACCTTCTGTAGATTCATACCATCACTGGGCTGTATGCAACAGGCTGAATTAATTTGACTGAATATGCAAGACACGCAGCTGCTTTTTTAGTGTTCACAAGCTATTAAATTGTTGTGAGACCAGTTTTATTAGCGTCCCGGAAGAACACTCAATAGCAATGTTGAGGTCAATCCAGGGAATGCATGAACAGATAAAATATATATCTTGAATGCAACATAATTCACCTTGGATAGAAGCATCTGCCAAATACATCTGAATGTATATGAATGTGTAGACAGATCACATTTTACATTTGTTATGAGAGTGAGTTAAAAATATTAATATGAAGTGGAATTGAATTCCTTTTTTGTTTTTTTGGTGGAACACAGTGTGTAATAGTCTAATCCTCCTCAATCTAGTCTTGTCACTTTGCACTATGAATGACTTGCCAGTAATCATTAACTTAAGGATGCATCCTGTCTTGGCCCTCTCCACTGCGCAACAACTCCTTTTTTATGGTTGAAACTTAATAAAAAGAAATATATTACTGTTCAAACTTGGGGTGTACTAAACTCACTGTACGATATTATTCAATACTTTAAGACATATAGTAAAAGGTTAACACATTTTTTTTTACTCCTTATTAAAATGCTAAATTTGTTATTACATTGGGGGGTGGAACTAAATATGCTTGAACTTGGTGATCATAACCCAATGCACAAGACAATGGTGACACCAGAATAAAAATATTCATGATTCTGAGGCTGAAAACAGAATTATTTTCGACGAATATGCTTGCACTCTATCACTGACTAGATATAACTCACCTAAAGGATTATTAGGAACACCTGTTCAGTTTCTCATAAATGCAATTATCAACCATTCACATGGCAGTTGCTTCAATGCATTTAGGGGTGTGGTCCTGGTCAAGACAATCTCCTGAACTCCAAACTGAATGTCAGAATGGGAAAGAAAGGTGATTTAAGCAATTTTGAGCGTGGCATGGTTGTTGGTGCCAGACGGGCCGGTCTGAGTATTTCACAATCTTCTCAGTAACTGGGATTGTCACACAAAACCATTTTTAGGATTTACAAAGAATGGTGTGAAAAGGGAAAAACATCCAGTATGCGGCAGTCCTGTGGGTGAAAATGCCTTGTTGATGCTAGAGGTCAGAGGAGAATGGGCCGACTGATTCAAGCTGATAAAAGAGCAATGTTGACCAAAATAACCACTCGTTGCAACCGAGGTATGCAGCAAAGCTTTTGTGAAGCCACAAAACAACAGAGGTTGTGTTGTTGCTGACACAACAAAGTCAGAATTTGGCCTTAACAGAGTGAGAACATGGATCCATCATGCCTTGTTACCATTGTGCAGGCTGGTGGTGGTGGTGTAATGGTGTGGGGGATGTTTTCTTGGTACACTTTAAGCCCCTTAGTGCCAATTTGGGCATTGTTTAAATGCCACGGCCTACTTGAGCTTTGTTTCTGTCCATCCATGTCCTTCCCTTTATGGCCACCATGTACCCATCCTCTGATGGCTTCAAATTGGTTTCTTGAACATGACAATGAGTTCACTGAACTAAAATGCCCCCCACAGTCACCAGATCTCAACCCAATAGAGCATCTTTGGGATGTGATGGAACGGGAGCTTCGTGCCCTGGATGTGCATCCCACAAATCTCCATCAACTGCAAGATGCTGTCCTATCAATATGGGCCAACATTTCTAAAGAATGCTTTCAGCACCTTGTGAATCAATGCCACGTAGAATTAAGGCAGTTCTGAAGGTAAAAGGCAGTCAAACTTAGTATGGTGTTCCTAATAATCCTTTAGGTGAGTGTATTTAAAATAATGTAGGACACTTTTTACTGGTAACAAGACATTTGGCATTATCACACATTATATTCAACATTAAATACAGTAGTTTAATGTAGTACTGACACTATAAACTTGAATTTTTTTCTCACACAGTCATTTTTATTTTGGGTGAACTATACACAATACATCCACAATTAATTTTTGTATTGTATATATGGTGATACGATATATATTGTTAAGCCTCTATTCAAACATTTGGGGAGAGAAAGACTTTTTTTAAAAGTTTAGAATGAATAATATGTGCATTTTTTTTTTAAATTAATTTCTCAACTTAAACCAAAATCTTCTTGTCAATTATGCAATAGGCTATGTCGCGTTTCAGTTTTGATGACTAAGGAGTTCAACATGACATGCATCAACAGTCCCCTGTTGATGATGTGACAGCGCTGAACTCATCTGCCCTCACCATGTCCGAGTATCCCGAGGGAGAAAGCCCGCTTCAGCTGCAGGACGTGGACTCCAGCAGGGTGGGGGGTCACATCCTCTCTCCTATCTTTAACTCCTCCTCACCATCCCTGCCGGTGGAGAGCCATCCCGTCTGCATCCAATCACCCTACACAGACCTCGGCCATGACTTCACCACTCTGCCCTTCTACAGTCCCGCTCTGCTGGGTTACGGCACATCGCCCCTGTCCGAGTGCTCATCAGTGAGACAGTCACTAAGCCCCACCCTCTTTTGGCCACCTCATAGCCAAGTTTCGTCACTTGCATTGCATCAACAACACACTCGACTTCAACAAAACCATCCAACGGGTGGGACTTGGACAGAACTTACACCACATGATCACAGTGAAGAGGAATACAGGTATGCGGAAGCACAAATCTTTTTTTGAATTCAGAAGGTTACGTGAAACTGTCTGTCTGTTTAAAGCTGCTCAGATGTGTCCGCTCCCCTTTATAGAAAGCCGCTGGTGAAGAGAGTAGCAGATGCAGAGGAGACTTCTACCTCTTTAAGAGGTAAAGCTGACATGCACTACTGTGCCGTCTGTAGTGATTACGCCTCTGGGTACCATTATGGCGTGTGGTCGTGTGAAGGATGCAAAGCCTTCTTCAAGAGGAGTATACAAGGTATCACTCTCTCTAAAGTACATTGCACTGATGTTCACATTTTTGGCCTAGTAATCTGATGATCATTTTCACGTTATTGACCATAACTAATAAACAGCAGGTTTAAAAATTAATTTGTCAAGTCACCTTTATTTACATTAAAGATTGTTTTAAGCAGCTTTAATAGTGCAACAAAGTTTGTTTTGGCTGTACAGAAGATTTAGAAGAATAGAAGAAGATAGTGTTAGCGTCATTCATTTATCTAAATTAATCCAAAACACTAAAAACTAATATCAATAAATTTCATGTTATGGTCAATAACAGATAAATGGCTAATATTAAAATTAAATTAGTCAAAATTAATTAAATCATACTCTTAAAAACTAAGCTAAAAATATTTCAAATGCAAACTTGTGTGTAAAAATACACAAAAGCTAATTCAGGCAATCCTAAATTATAATCTACAGTATTAAAACAATGGGTATTCATTTTGAGATGTGTTATTAAATTATAATGTTTTTAAAGGGTTAGTTCACCCAAAAATGATCATGTCATGATCAATGATTATGTCATTAATGACTCACCCTCATGTCGTTTCAAGTCTGTAAGACCTCCGTTCATCTTCGGAACTCAGTTTAAGATATTTTAGATTTAGTCCGAGAGCTTTCTGTCCCTCCATTTCAAATGTGCTCTCAAACTAAATCTAAAATATCTTAAACTGTGTTCCAAAGATGAACAGAGGTCTTACGGGTTTGGAATGACATGAGGGTGAGTCATTAATTACATCATTTTCATTTTTGGGTGAACTAACCCTTTAAAGACTAAGTGAGTGATGATGGGTAATCCAAGTGTAAATAAATATAAATATATACGGTGTATATATATATATATATATATATATATATATATATATATACTGTATGAATATACTGTATGTATATACTGTGTATGTATGTATATATATATATATATATATATATATTCTTTTCTCTGGTATATACCGGTTAATTTTAAAAAAATACTCAGATTAAAATCTCCCACATACATTTATAGAATGTTCAGCATTCAAAATGTAACTGAGAGTGATGATTGCATCATCGTGAATTTGCATTCTGATTAGTGTTTTGACCTGGATTTTTTAAAATTTATTTGCATGCTGAATTGTGAGTGGTCTTGTCTTACTTGCATATATTTAACCATACATAGCCATCTTCACAGTGCATATAGACCCATTCACAGCCATCTTTTCCTTCAGAAATGCTAATTTAGCCAATCTTATTACATGACTCTGGAATTCTAATTGGTTATGTGATTAATTCTAACCATCAGTGGTGAAATATTTTTATATAATGACTTATAAAATGTATAATTTTTTTTGTCCCAGACAACCAATTGTGTACACAGCTGTGCTAAGTATATTCATGTCTCTAGAAGACCACTCTGCTTTACTTTGCGGCCCTTTAAAAATAGTAGCAGTTTTTTATTGCTTGTTACGATTTGAACACACAAATGTTCTGTGGCTAATAGGGAACATCTGATTAATTTTCTCAGGACACAATGACTACATCTGCCCTGCCACCAACCAGTGCACCATCGACAAGAACCGCCGCAAAAGCTGCCAGGCCTGCCGACTCCGGAAGTGTTATGAAGTTGGAATGATGAAATGTGGTGGGGCGCTGTCTCCTTTGTTCCAACACACCCACACAGTTACCAGCTACTTAATGAGAGATTGCTGAGTGCTGAATGTCCAAAGTCATTGACTTTGTTCCAATATTAAGCAGCTATCATGCCGTGAAGTTGTGATATGCATCAGCATTTAAATGATAATGTGATAGATTATTTATAAAGTAGATGATGGTCAAATGTTGCACCAAAACAACCCAGATATAATACTAAAAATACATGTCATCACACATAAATCTTTGATTTAAGATTTCAAATAATACGACTTCACACAACTTTGAACCAGACAACAGTAAATGGTCTGGTAGATCAAGATAAAACGTCTTTCTTTGCATGTTGTCTTTAGAGCTGTTTGTGAGTTGGGTGAATATCTCGGAGGGCTTTTCCTCGAAAGAACTGAATTAAGTCTGTGTTGCTGTGGAGACCACTCTTGTAATTTTTGTTTTAGGGCAGTGTACTTTCACAGCTTCGCTTCAAGGTTAGAAGAGAAAGTGATGTAAAGTGTCTTATCTTACTGGTTGATGTTTTTGGTTTGAGCTCTGTAGACTTCATCATAAATCAAATACACAGTTTTGTAATTTGTTTTTGCAGCTTTGCCTTCTGCTCGTCCATATTTTTGGTCTCAACTTTTTCATTTTTGTTGCCCCCAATTTTCTAACAAAATTTTTGATGGCCCCCGGTTTTTCTGCTGTAATTCTGCTCGTTTCTAAAACCCAAACAGCAACTGAGAATATTAATATATTAAATCAAACAATAAAAAGAATATTTACTGAAGGAAAGTAAAAAAGAAATAGCATTTAAATTTAGATATTTTTATATTTTATATTAATTTAAATACTTTTAAGTAATCCTGCAGGCCCCTGGTTGAGATCCTCTTGTTTAAAGGGTTAGCTCGGTATTTTACACTTAAAGCCCTGTTTTTAAGATCGTTTCTGATGAAATAGAACAGTTAAGATTGGAATTTGGACAAATGCTGCTGTCCCGAGAATTTTAGGTTTCTGTGTTAGCACCCACCCGCACAATGGTTGTCTATGTGCACTGGAACAATCATTCATAAAAAAACATTAAACTTTAGTTTACAAAGACGTGAAACTCATTGAGTGGTCAGGAGTTTTATCGTAGTTTTTGTCCGACTCCATTGACTTGACTTGACTCCATTGACTGCTAACACAGAAACCTAAAATTCTCGGGACATGTCAATCTTAACCTTTCTATTTAATCAGAAGCGATCTTAAAACAGGGCTATAAGTGTAAAATACCGAACTAACCCTTTAAGCCAAATGTGGAATTTAAGGGGAAGTGTATTATTTCTGCACTGCTAGTGACACCTAACGTGATTGCAAAGGCAATGGATGTTCCCGAACACTCCCTCTGTCTACCATTGGTCGTACAAACACACAATCCCGCCTACATTCACACCATTGGTTGCGGCAGTGTTGCTGTACTGGTTAGGATTATCAAACAAACATAGCAATGTTTTTTCACAGTGTTTGCACTTTGGGTAAATCAACCTATGAATGAACGACTCTACATAGTAGATTGTACTTAATATAACTATTTAATATGAAACCAATTACACACTTCACCTTTATTATCATATCAGTTGCTAATCAACAGCTTAGATGAGGCAGAGATGAATGGTGCAATTACCTTGTATTTTTTACAGGGTTACGGCGAGATCGTGGCAGCTACCAACAAAGAGGAGCACAGCAGAAGCGACTGGCACGATTCTCTGGCAGGATGAGAACCAGTGGCCCAAGATCTCAAGAGATGAAAAGTGTCCCATGTCCCCTCAGTGGAAATGAGGTGGTTAACATGGCATTGACCCCTGAAGAACTAATCGCTCGCATCATGGATGCAGAGCCACCTGAGATTTACCTCATGAAAGACATGAAGAAGCCATTTACTGAGGCCAACGTCATGATGTCACTGACCAACCTGGCTGACAAAGAGCTCGTTCACATGATCAGCTGGGCCAAGAAGGTCCCAGGTGAGTGTAAACCATATTTATAAGAACAACTGATTCAGTTATAACATCAACTCAGCGTGTTACCGTATTTCTGTTGGTTCATAGAACTTTTCCAATAACACAAACTGCAAATCCACATGGAATTTAGGAATTTGGGTATTTGGTCATAGCATGTTTCAGTTTGACCAAACCCGGAAGGCTGATTCACTATGGATTCCCTCTGGAATATCTAATGGGTTTTAGAAGAGCAGTTTTGGATTTTATGTGTTCACTACAGTAATGGATGTGGTTAATATTACTTAATATTGAGAATTTGTCATTTATCATTTATATTCCAAATAAATTGCATTACATCATACCCTGTTCAAACATGAATTTTGAAATCGTTTTGTGCTTTTAAAATGTTTCTAAAAGTTGCTGCATGACATATACAACAGTTGTCCACTGAATTTCATATTATTTGTCAAGCACATAAATCTGGATCTTTGTTCTGCTTTTAGCCGTTTGAACATTGTAGGGTTGTGTGGGTAATAAAAAAAAACAAAAATCAATTCTAGAATACATGGATTAGAAACACTTGTTTTAGAGTTAGTGCAGGCCAGGGCAGTACAAGGAAGTGAGCTTATATGCTAAACAAATGATGTGAAATTCATGCGTCAGCCGTCTTAATCCTCATGTATACTTGTTAGCAGCTTATGTTTTTAAAGCACACAACAATTTTATATTCTATTTGATTATGGTATGACTGTATGCTGTCAAACAAATCTTCTGCTCATGTAATGTTAGCCACAACAACATTAACTCATCAGAACTCACTATAATAAAAAGCAACTTTAGAAATTCATGGCTCAAAATTGTTAATTCTCTTTCAGGTTTTAGGATTTCAAAAATATCTTTATTTTGAGCTTTGAAGAACCCTTTCTGTAGTGGATGGATTAAATGGATTAAAATGAACCGTTTTTGAAGTAGATGGATTTCTGAATTGAAGTGAACTTGACGTATAATGGGTCAGCGTGCTTAATAAGGACATAATGATACAGAAAATAAATTATGTGAAAAATTATATTGCAATGATTTAATTGCACCCCCCCAAGAAATTTTAAATTTGTTTACACAACTTATTTTCCCACAAATTTGGTGATTAAAAAAATAAATAAATAAAAGTTGGGGTGGGAGGGAATTTTTTTTTTTTTTTTTTTTTTTTTTTTTTTTGTGAGCCAGCCCAGTTTCTTGGGAGAAAGCAATACTTTTGTGGGAAAAATGTAAGTGTTGTGAGTGAAGACAAAAGCATTAAAATATACATTTTCCTTCCATACACCAAACTATATAATATTTTTCTCTGTAGTTAAAGGGAAGTGATTCACAAGTTTATTAGTCTGAAATCTGCATTGAGAGGTCTTGTTTTGTTTTGATATACTTGATGTCTTCTGTTTTCTGATCTGATTTATCACTTTAATGAATATTTGTCTTTTGAGATGGGCAGTCTTTTATTAGTGAATCATCATGTTCTAATTCTGAACATGAACAGTTTGTTTATTTTGAGAACGCCAGTAAACTTTCCCTCAGACTCTTCTTTTCAAGTTATTCCAGATCCCCAGGGATAAGCAGCTTATGTGGGGACACAAGCCTTATCTCGGTCACTTTCTGACAGGGAAGCACTGTCGGCTGAAATGAACTACTCCGCTAATTTTGTATACAACCTGTAAACTATGGATTGTGTTTGATCGCTGTGGGTTTAATGACTGTTGTTGGTTGTGTGTGCAGTTGGTAACACATGCTTAATTCTCCCCGCAGGTTTTGTGGAGCTCAGTCTTTTTGACCAGGTGCATTTGTTAGAGTGCTGCTGGTTAGAGGTGCTGATGCTGGGACTGATGTGGCGCTCTGTTAATCACCCAGGAAAGCTCATCTTCTCTCCAGACCTCAGTCTCAGCAGGTAACTACTGTAGTCTGAGTTAAATGTGTTTATCTCATTGCCTAATTTATGAACAGGCACATCCATCTCTCCGTGCTTGAATTCATCACATGGTTTAGGTGGTCTGTATTTTTATGCAGCTATCCTTTTGTTCTGTATGCCAGTGTAGTCTGAAATCATTTATGGGTGATTTAAGTAAATGATTATGTGTTCTGTACAGGCACCAGTTAACTTTCTTGTCATGTCAAGGTTCAACACATTAGCCATGGTTAGTCATAGTTAGCATGCAGACCTACACAATAAGTCAATTGACTGCATGAAGCTCTTTTATTTTATTAAATCTATTCATTTTGCCAGTACGTCTATGCAAAAAATGCACTTCATACATAATAATAATAATAATAAAAATGAAATAAAAAAAAGAAAATGTTATTACTTGTTACACCACAATTTATTACCAATGAATATTAATGAATAATAATATTAATATTCATTACATTTAAAATAGTGCAAACGCTTTTTTTAATCCATTTGAAACCATCATCAATACAAAGAATGTATGTTTTTGATAATTTTAATGTTTTTTTTGTTGTTGTTTTTTACTTTTAAGATGTAATGTAAATTGTAACGTGTGTATGTGATTTCATACTGCAGAAGCTTTGTATAAAGAACTGTTTATTCATAACATAATCTTTGTAGAATAGTGAAACATCTCAAGAATACAGCTGTGAAATAAAATCAGCGTTCTGGCCAGATGTGTTCAGATGTGTCACAGTGTGATGCATGGTGTGGTAGGAAATAGAGAGCTGCCAATACAACTGTGGGAAGACAGAAACTGATTCTTCCATGACTTCTCTGCAGAGGTGGAAAGAAACGAATTACAGTACATGAGTACATTTTTTCGATTTTTTTTTTTTTTCGTAAAATTAAATTGTGGTATTTTTACTTGAGTTTAATAAAAGTAAAGTATTCAACTTCGCTACATTTATTTTTCACCAAAAGTACAAAGAAGGCGGGGTGTTCAAACCGCACTTTGACATTCAATCATCGGCGCTCGTGTTTTGAATCTGTATCACTAACATTTCAATATTTCACTGAATGCAAGTGAGCTATGTTCATATTCTGTATAATACCAGAGCACTGAGCAGTTTAAGTAAATTAAAAACTCGGCTCATAAAATGTACACAGTTATGGCATGGACAGAGCAAGAACAACATTTGTGTCTAAAATATGGTACATGCACACAGATCAATTAATGGTAAAGCTCCCTCTCTTTAACAATACAGTAAATTAAATGTACGATGCAAACTTTGTACAAAGCTGAAAAAACCTCCTCAACAGTGAAATAAGATTGCATGATTTATCTGTCAATCAGATGGACGTGAAAGGGTAGTTTGTTATTAGAGCAACTGTGGGCTCCCAGTACATTTTCAGTTGGAAAAAAAAAAAAAAGATTTTTATTTAAAATGTTAACCATACTGGTTTCATGTTGCTTCTTCTTAACACAGAGTGAGAATGTATTATTTTATTCAATTCGATATATATGATACTCCTTTAAGCAAACTACTTATTTACTCTTACTTGAGTCTTATTATTTTTCAATACTTCTACTTGTACTCAAGTTATGAAAAAATAGAGTAGCCTATCCATCGCTACTGTAAAGTAAAAAAAAAAAAATAATAATATTCATTTCCTTCCTATCCCTTGCTGCCACTGGAGAAAAGAAAAAAATCCCTACCGACCCATTACCTCAACTGACAACCAAGCGGAACCAAACTTTTTTTTTATGTCTTAAGTACAATTCGTTAGTACTCTTTTCACCACTGCTTGTCTGTTATCATGCCCCCTCTACTCCGCTGCCCTTTGTACCCCCTTAATATGGGGTGTACTCGCGTTGTAATGCAGAAAGAAATGTGGCCAGGCTTACAGATGCTCTGCAGACTTTACACTATACTCTTCCAATCCGTTCTAGTCATGGGTAGGTTTGCTGTAAATATGCATCTGACGCCAGCCATTTACTGTATTTTCATGGGCTTGGAGAAGGAATTCATTGTATCATAGCCAACCATAAGTTGGATTTGGTGAATGATGTCAACATCAAAAAAAACAAAACCTTTTCTTTTCTTTCTGACTACATCTGTCGATAATGATACTCAGTATTATTTGACACAAATACAAATTCCCTAAAATAATAGTTACTTGTAGAAGTTAGGTACAAGGTCTGGTTTAATGCGAAATTGAAGTAGCTGTATCTGTATTCTCTGTTCTCACAAGTTTTAACGAAGTGTTAGCGCCGTCCTGGTCTCATTCACTGCAGCAGGTCCAATTGTAGCACCTCTCAGCCATTTCGCTTTGTGTAGAATTCAGCATTCGTGCTTTCTGTAGGTGCCAGGTTTTGGAATACAGCTAGTTAGGTTGGAGATTGATGCTAGGTCCCGTGTTTCTGATGAGGTGTTTCTTATTTGTGAGACTGATGACGGTCTTTGTGCTCGGCAGGGACGAAGGCAGCTGTGTGCAGGGGTTTGTGGAGATCTTCGATATGCTGCTGGCAGCCACATCCAGATTCAGAGAACTCAAATTACAGAGAGAGGAGTACGTTTGTCTCAAAGCCATGATTCTCCTTAACTCCAGTAAGTGCTCTTCTTTTGAAATGTGCAAGCATTTATACTACATCCATTACTAAAACAAATGTATTTTTTATTAGATAATGAATGTGCACGTTTTGATCTCATTGTAACTAATATCTCAGATGTTTCTGCTAGAAGTAAATAGAGACTAGCATTAAGTTTTCACTATAGGCTACTTGTATATTAAAAGATGCGTTTATTTGTCACATGACTCATAATACCTCATAGGACCCATTATATTTAATCCCAATATTTTATATTAATCCATGAGTAACTTTTATCATAATTTTTTGCATATATTTGCAAATCAACATAAAAATTCTTTGAAGAATAAGGTTAGAAACAACAGCATTTATTTGAAATAGAAATCTTTTGTGGGATTATAAATGTCTTTACTGTCACTTTTGATCAATTAACGCATCCGTGCTGAATACAAGTCTAGCACACTATACGTACCAATATCTAGAGTGCCCTGGATTCGTTACTAATGTAGCGTTAGTAATAGTATATTGTAAGGAAATTGAATAGAAACAAATCAGTAAAATAAATTTCAATAATGTTTCCCTTTTACTTGATAATTAACTCAAGTTGTGAAATGAACCTCCAAAACCAGTTATAAATCAGAGTAGATAACTTTACATTACTCACAATTAACTCTTTGGAGTATATTCAACACTTTCACATCACGGCACCCACATTTGCGACTCGCGAGTATAAACTACACACACTCACGATGAACTAATGTAGGATATCAACACTTTAACTTCTGCAAAATTAGTAAAAACAAAAATGAACACTTAAAACTTAACTGCTTCACACTCTGTGTCATCGTTGTTGTTTTTTTCCCTTCTATCTCCTCTTCTTCGTTCCCTCCCTTCTCACTCTCTCCTCCCGCCCCCTCTCGCCTATCATATCGATCTCCAAACTAAAATGACTGAACTAAAATGTGAAATACCCAATCAGAGCCTAGAAATTTTATACACTTCTAACAACGGGATGAGTACAGATATACAATATAAATCAAATATATGAACAAAACAATATAAAAGATACAAGAAAAGTAAAATAATATAGATATACGTACTTTTAACAAATTTCCACTACTCAAGTATGAATTTCTTTTAAAAAGAAAAATAGAGACAAAATTGTGAATAGTACTGTATTTTTTTATATATATATCAGTTAACAATGTTAAACACAGCCTATCATCACAGAAATATTGCATGATAACCAAAATTGTAAATTATGGTTTTATAATTTGGTAATTGTGGATTTTTTTAGCAACAAAAAACTGCTGGCAAAATGAAATATGTAAGCAAATGTATAAATTCTGTCTACTAGCACTGGATTGTAATGTAAAAAAAAAAATATTGTATGATGAACAGCTGTCATATCCTTAAACAAACTGCATTCCTTTGGGTCTGTGTATGAAACCTCTCCTTTTCTACTCGCATCGCTCCGGCTGTGATTCAAACCGGCGTTTCTGGCATGGGAGGTGGGCACGCTTAACAGGACTTTAAAGACCGCAGCCACTAATGCGCCTCTTGAAGACAGGGGAGTGAGGTTTACCTGCACAGCTCTTTACTAGCTGGCCGCTGTTACACCTCATTCCCATCTGGATCACGGCACCAAAGTAATCCCTCCACTCGTACCACTCTGAATGGGATTCGAACTGCTGTTTCCAGTATGGGAGGCAGGTGCGCTAACAAGGACGCTAAAGACCACAGCATCCAGCATCACCGCTACTGTGTCTCTCGAGACCAGGGGAGTGAGGTTTAATCACACAGCTCTTGCTTGCTGGCCCCCTAAACCTTCATCCCATCCGGGTCACGGCACCAATGTAACCCCTCTGGGTCTACTCGCACCAGGATCCTTTGAGCAGGATTCGATCCGGCATTTGTGGTATGGGAGGCGGGTGCCGCAGCCTCTAGTGCTTCTCTTGAGTCTTGATGCCTGGGGAGTGAGGTTTACCTGCACAGCTCATAAATTAATGTAGTGGCCTAGCACTTAAGCTCCAAAAGCAGGTTCGATTCTAGCTGGTGTCATGCACCAATCATACTCCCCTTCATTTCCTTTCCTCTCTTGTGTCTCTATCAAGTGGCATAAGGCCAAACAAACGTCTGGCCTTCAGAGTGCTGTAATAAATAGTGTTGGCTCGTAACTCAGGTTACAACTATCCCCACTTTAATTGAAGGGTGTCTTGGCAAGGCCAGTAAAACGCTCGCACTGTAAAATCTTTTTAAAACCTCTTTATTCTAAGCCCCCAACAGCTGTCTTCACTTTGTCTCCTCTGTCAATTTTTTGATCGCTCCAGATGTTGCATTGTTTTTGAATTGGATATTAGTTCAATTGGATGCTTATTTGAGTATTACCCTCTATTATTTCAAATGGCTGTAAATTTCTTTTCATGGCTTGAATCTCTGTGAACTTGCGCTTGTGCGTCATTGCAGACATGTGTCTGAGTTCGTCGGAGGGAGGAGAGGAGCTCCAGAGGCGGTCAAAGCTGCTGTGTCTGCTTGACTCGGTGACGGATGCTTTGGTATGGGCCATCTCGAAGACTGGCCTGAGCTTTCAGCAGCGCTCCACTAGACTAGCCCATCTGCTCATGCTGCTCTCCCACATAAGGCACCTCAGGTACCAACAATAAATGCAGTGCTTTCTCTCAGAAAAGGTGGCTTGTGGTCTGGCTTCATACAAAGTCATTTGTCTGAATACGGCAACATTTATGTCTCCAAGTCTGCTAAAAAAAAGTGATTACCGGTACAATTACAGTTCATTTGGACACATTCGGCTACTCGCTATTTTTGCATTTGCAATGTCTGCTGTAATTGAAACCACTTAAAACATCAATTATTCACAAGAGTGTTTTTTTTTTTTTTTCAATTTGGGGTATAGCTGTCTAAAAGTATCAATGTTACTTATTTAACTACACTTCTCAATGTCCCAGTTGTTCATCTGTTTTTTAAAGTAGCTTTTCCAATAGCTAATTTGTCTAGCAATTATCAGTGTAGCGAATCAGTTCTTTTACATGGTTGATGGAAATAAATAGTCTCTTTTTGAACCATGTCACAAATGCAGCATTTGCTTACTAATTAGAGAAATACAGCTCTGATTAAGTGATATCTGATAATTATATATTTTAAAACACATTAACTTTAGCTTTAATCTGGTTACCTACTTGAGCCTTACTGTTTTAAATATAGCTATCCTCATTTACAAAAGGTTAGCTTACTATATTGAACTACTTTAAGTACAGTGGGGCCAAAAAGGATTTAGTCAGCCACTGATTGTGCAAGTTCTCCTACTTAGAATAATGAGCGAGGTCTGTAATTTTCATCATAGGTACACTTCAACTATGAGAGACAAAATGAGAAAAAAAAATCTAGGAAATCACATTTGTTTTTTTCACATTTGAATTTATTTGAAAAATATTGGTGGAAAATAAGTATTTGGTCACCCACAAACCAGCAAGATTTCTGGCTCTCACAGACCTGTAACTTCTTCTTTAAGAAGCTCTTTTCTCCTCCATCTGTATAAAAGACACCTGTCCACAGCCTCAAACAGTCACACTCCAAACTCAACCATGGCCAAGACCTAAGAGCTGTCGACGAACACCAGGAAGAAAATTGTAGACCTGCACCAGGCTGGGAAGAGTGAATCTACAATTAGAGGCAAGCAGCTTGGTGTGAAAAAAAAATCAACTGTGCGAGCAATTGTGAGAAAATTTACAAGACCACTGATAATCTCCCTCGATCTAGGGCTCCACGCAAGATCTCAAAATGATCATGAGAACGGTGAGCAAAAATCCTAGAACTACACGGAGGGACCTGATGAATGTCCTGCAGATAGCTGGGACCAAAGTAACAAAGGCTACCATAAGGATTTGAAGTGGATTTGAAGTGTACCTATGATAAAAATTACAGACCTATCTCATCATTCTAAGTTGAAGAACTTGCACAATTAGTGGCTGACTAAATACTTTTCTGGCCCCACTGTATCTTATAGTTTAGCTAACTGCTTTTTCAAGGTTAGCTTGACTGTATAGAAGACTCTTAAACTGCTGAGCTTGTAACCAGTCTCTGTGGTGTCGTGTGCATTTGTAACTCTCGATCTGTGCAAAATCTTCCACTGACCATCTGTAGTAACAAAGGCATGGACCACCTGCACTGCATGAAGATGAAGAAGATGGTTCCTCTGTATGACCTGCTCCTGGAGATGCTGGACGCTCATATCATGCACGGCTCACGTCTGTCTCACTCCGGTCCTGCTCCCAAAGAGAGCACAGGCGTCCAGGAGGCCACTCTATCAGGTGAGATCCAGAAAGAGTGTGCAACATAATGCACAGATTGTGAAAATACATACAAATAAACTGTTTAATGATGAAAATGCCTGGTTTACAGTCAGTTTACAGCTAAAATCTTTCCTAAAATCCTTCAAAAAAAAAAAAAAAAAAAAAAAAAAGGAGAAAGAAATCCCATTAAATTACTTTTCTTTCTCTCCAGTGCTGAAGAATGATCTGTAGTTTCGGGAGGATGGACAACAAAAACAGCTACACAAAAAGCGTGGAATAGGATTTCACAAATTGAAAAACATCACTGATGTCTTGAATGTTCTCATGTGAAATCTATATTTTCTCTCTTTTTTTCAGACAGGATGGACATGGTGTCCAATTTGTACTTTATCTTTTCTCTTTCTATAAAATAAGCTTTCTGTTAAATAAAACAAACCAGCAGCACGATGATGCCTATAGCATCACTATAGCAACTGCTGTAGATAGAGCAGCTATTGACGACACTCTCAGAAGAAGAAAAAACACATCCGATTCCATCACTTGTAAAATGACAGTATGGACGATGAGAGAGATTTGTGTGCAGTGTGAGCAAAGACTGAATTCTGGTCCGAAGCTTTTTTTTCTGTCACTTTATTTTTGACAAATTGTTTAAAGAAAAAAAAAAACTGCCTTATTTCATCCTGCTCCAAACCCAGTAAACCCCTTTAACACCATAAAGGCCTTGTACAAAACATTTATACATTTTCTAGATTGATCACCATTTTGTTCCACTGTGAAAACCTTTCCGTTTGTAAGATCACGAAATTTTTGATATTGCACTTTAAAATTTCTCTGAAATAGAAGAGCAAACTTACCTTAACCCCCTCAGACCTGAATTATGTTTCAAGTTTCTGAAAAATATAAAAGTACATTTTCCCAGCTCATGAGGTTTCTATAAATGAAAACAAATGAAAAAAATAAAATTATATAATTGCTTTCATTGTGATTTTTTTTTTTTTTGTCCATTCCAATGGACATCAGGTCAAAACAGGTGTACTTCCCAAAAATGTACCAACATGAAATAAATTAATAAACATAAAATTTGTTGGTTTATACTTTAAGCTTTTTCTCAAGGTCAAAACAATTCCAGTAGTATACCATTTCAACTATAATTTTGAGGTTTTTGTTTTACAGATTGCACATTGTTTGTAACAAACTAAATATATTCAAATCAGTCAAACTGGTCATATTAGAGTCCTTTTCTGTGTGCATCTTTCTTTTTTAGAACAAAAACTTGAACATTATAACATTACAACTTTAATCGTAAGGTTTTTCCTTTATATTGCACATTTGTTTATTCAAAACAAAATAAACCTAGGAATCAATCAATGCATTCATGTTAGAGTCATTTCCTGTTTGCATTCTGTGTTTTCTTGTATTTTTACAGTACTGGCAGGACGGTTGCCAGCAAGTCACTGTATTTCGATTTCCAGTAACTCTAGCTAGTCCAAGGTCGGGAAAAAAAGGTCCATTCAGTCCTTGGGCCGAAAGCCTCACCGGGGGGCCGACAGGAGGAGACCGAAGTTTCGGGACCCCTGAGGCAGTTCCGCAAAGGCCCCCACGGTGGAGCCACCCTCGAAACGTCCCACGAACCCACTATTCGTCCGACCGACCACCGCTTCCACAGGGCGTCCGGCGACCGCCCCCCCCCGCCCACTGACACGCCCCCGTCCCACGAACCCACTATTTGTCCAATAACCTACTATATTTACCAAATGTCCCGGGACCACCGGGACCAGTTTTTCCGCAGTTCGTTCAATATGCTGCAATTGGACGCGGTCCCACCGGCAATCTACTGAATGGGGATTCAGGTAGTGTTTTTGATAGACATTTTAATTAAAGATCCTGTCGTGATAAAGACTATTTTACCGCACTCAGGAGGCCCCCCGAGGTCCGTAGTACCAAGCGCCGTCCCAAAATTTCACTGTCTGCGAACTCACTATTTTTATAATGAAGTAAATGCTACGTGGGATGTCCATATCTCAGCTCTGGAAGGGTCTAGAGCCTCCATTTTTGCACTCAGGTCTAAGTCTCATGGCCCTCTATCAGAATTCAGAGTTTCAAGAAGATCAGAGAAACTCAAAATTTCGACCCCCCCCCCCCCCAAAAAAAAAAAAAAATGACAGTGTCGTTTTGTTGTTTGTGCGAAAAAATAAGTTTCTCCAATCTTCTTGAAACTCTGGATTCTGATAGAGGGCCATGGGACTTAGACCTGAGTGTAAAAATGGAGGCTCTAGACCCTTCCACTGCTGAGATATTGAGATCCCACAAAGCATTTATGCCATTATAAATATCTCAATGTCTCAGCAGTGGAAGGGTCTAGAGCCTCCATTTGTACACTCAGTTCTAAGTCCCATGGTCCTCTATCAGAATCCAGAGTTTCAAGAAGATCAGAGAAACTCAAAATTTCGACCCAAAAAAAAAAGGACAGTGTTACCCCTGTCGTTTTTTTTTTTTTTTTTTTTGCGCGAAAAATATACGTTTCTCCAATCTTCTTGAAACTCTGGATTCTGATAGAGGGCCATGGGACTTAGACCTGAGTGCCAAAATGGAGGCTCTAGACCTTCCACCGCTGAGATATTGAGATCCCACGTAGCATTTATGCCATTATAAATATCTCAATATCTCAGCGGTGGAAGGGTCTAGAGCCTCCATTTTTACATTTTATCTCAAAAATATTTGTAAGGGTTAAGGGTTCTCAGTGGTACCCTTACTTTTTTTTTTTTTTTTTGGGCGAAAAATTAAGTTTCTCCAATCTTCCCAAAACTCTGGATTCTGATAGAGGGCCATGAGACTTAGACCTGAGTGCAAAAATAGAGGCTCTAGCCCCTTCCAGAGCTGAGATATCGAAACTCAAAAATTCGGCCCAAAAAAAAAAACGACAGTGGTACCCCTTACGTTTTTTTTTTTGGGCGAAAAATTAAGTTTCTCCAATCTTCCCAAAACTCTGGATTCTGATAGAGGCCATGAGACTTAGACCTGAGTGCAAAAATGGAGGCTCTAGCCCCTTCCAGAGCTGAGATATCGAAACTCAAAAATTGGCCCGAAAAAAAAAACGACAGTGGTACCCCTTACGTTTTTTTTTTGGGGCGAAAAATTAAGTTTCTCCAATCTTCCCAAAACTCTGGATTCTGATAGAGGGCCATGAGACTTAGACCTGAGTGCAAAAATGGAGGCTCTAGCCCCTCCCAGAGCTGAGATATCGAAACTCAAAAATTCGGCCCGAAAAAAAAAACGACAGTGGTACCCCTTACGTTTTTTTTTTTTGGGCGAAAAATTAAGTTTCTCCAATCTTCCCAAAACTCTGGATTCTGATAGAGGGCCATGAGACTTAGACCTGAGTGCAAAAATGGAGGCTCTAGCCCCTTCCAGAGCTGAGATATCGAAACTCAAAAATTCGGCCCGAAAAAAAAACGACAGTGGTACCCCTTACGTTTTTTTTTTTTGGGCGAAAAATTAAGTTTCTCCAATCTTCCCAAAACTCTGGATTCTGATAGAGGGCCATGAGACTTAGACCTGAGTGCAAAAATGGAGGCTCTAGCCCCTTCCAGAGCTGAGATATCGAAACTCAAAAATTCGGCCCGAAAAAAAAACGACAGTGGTACCCCTTACGTTTTTTTTTTTTTGGCGAAAAATTAAGTTTCTCCAATCTTCCCAAAACTCTGATTCTGATAGAGGGCCATGAGACTTAGACCTGAGTGCAAAAATGGAGGCTCTAGCCCCTTCCAGAGCTGAGATATCGAAACTCAAAAATTCGGCCCGAAAAAAAAACGACAGTGGTACCCCTTACGTTTTTTTTTTTGGCGAAAAATTAAGTTTCTCCAATCTTCCCAAAATCTAAGTTTCTCCAATCTTCCCAAAACTCTGGATTCTGATAGAGGGCCATGAGACTTAGACCTGAGTGCAAAAATGGAGGCTCTAGCCCCTTCCAGAGCTGAGATATCGAAACTCAAAAATTCGGCCCGAAAAAAAAACGACAGTGTACCCCTTACGTTTTTTTTTTTTGGCGAAAAATTAAGTTTCTCCAATCTTCCCAAAACTCTGGATTCTGATAGAGGGCCATGAGACTTAGACCTGAGTGCAAAAATGGAGGCTCTAGCCCCTTCCAGAGCTGAGATATCGAAACTCAAAAATTCGGCCCGAAAAAAAAAACGACAGTGGTACCCCTTACGTTTTTTTTTTGGGCGAAAAATTAAGTTTCTCCAATCTTCCCAAAACTCTGGATTCTGATAGAGGGCCATGAGACTTAGACCTGAGTGCAAAAATGGAGGCTCTAGCCCCTTCCAGAGCTGAGATATCGAAACTCAAAAATTCGGCCCGAAAAAAAAAACGACAGTGGTACCCCTTACGTTTTTTTTTTTTGGGCGAAAAATTAAGTTTCTCCAATCTTCCAAAACTCTGGATTCTGATAGAGGGCCATGAGACTTAGACCTGAGTGCAAAAATGGAGGCTCTAGCCCCTTCCAGAGCTGAGATATCGAAACTCAAAAATTCGGCCCGAAAAAAAAACGACAGTGGTACCCCTTACGTTTTTTTTTTTGGGCGAAAAATTAAGTTTCTCCAATCTTCCCAAAACTCTGGATTCTGATAGAGGGCCATGAGACTTAGACCTGAGTGCAAAAATGGAGGCTCTAGCCCCTTCCAGAGCTGAGATATCGAAACTCAAAAATTCGGCCCGAAAAAAAAACGACAGTGGTACCCCTTACGTTTTTTTTTTTTTGGGCGAAAAATTAAGTTTCTCCAATCTTCCCAAAACTCTGGATTCTGATAGAGGGCCATGAGACTTAGACCTGAGTGCAAAAATGGAGGCTCTAGCCCCTTCCAGAGCTGAGATATCGAAACTCAAAAATTCGGCCCGAAAAAAAAACGACAGTGGTACCCCTTACGTTTTTTTTTTGGGCGAAAAATTAAGTTTCTCCAATCTTCCAAAACTCTAAGTTTCTCCAATCTTCCCAAAATTCTGATAGAGGGCCATGAGACTTAGACCTGAGTGCAAAAATGGAGGCTCTAGCCCCTTCCAGAGCTGAGATATCGAAACTCAAAAATTCGGCCCGAAAAAAAAACGACAGTGGTACCCCTTACGTTTTTTTTTTTTGGGCGAAAAATTAAGTTTCTCCAATCTTCCCAAAACTCTGATTCTGATAGAGGGCCATGAGACTTAGACCTGAGTGCAAAAATGGAGGCTCTAGCCCCTTCCAGAGCTGAGATATCGAAACTCAAAAATTCGGCCCGAAAAAAAAAACGACAGTGGTACCCCTTACGTTTTTTTTTTTGGGGCGAAAAATTAAGTTTCTCCAATCTTCCCAAAACTCTGGATTCTGATAGAGGGCCATGAGACTTAGACCTGAGTGCAAAAATGGAGGCTCTAGCCCCTTCCAGAGCTGAGATATCGAAACTCAAAAATTCGGCCCGAAAAAAAAACGACAGTGGTACCCCTTACGTTTTTTTTTTTTGGGCGAAAAATTAAGTTTCTCCAATCTTCCCAAAACTCTGGATTCTGATAGAGGGCCATGAGACTTAGACCTGAGTGCAAAAATGGAGGCTCTAGCCCCTTCCAGAGCTGAGATATCGAAACTCAAAAATTCGGCCCGAAAAAAAAACGACAGTGGTACCCCTTACGTTTTTTTTTTTGGGCGAAAAATTAAGTTTCTCCAATCTTCCCAAAACTCTGGATTCTGATAGAGGGCCATGAGACTTAGACCTGAGTGCAAAAATGGAGGCTCTAGCCCCTTCCAGAGCTGAGATATCGAAACTCAAAAATTCGGCCCGAAAAAAAAAACGACAGTGGTACCCCTTACGTTTTTTTTTTTGGGCGAAAAATTAAGTTTCTCCAATCTTCCAAAACTCTGGATTCTGATAGAGGGCCATGAGACTTAGACCTGAGTGCAAAAATGGAGGCTCTAGCCCCTTCCAGAGCTGAGATATCGAAACTCAAAAATTC